TTTTTATCTTCACCCCCAGCGGGATTCGAACCAAGTGGTTAACGTGTCAAACTCCCATTATACACTACCACAGTTATACTCCCACTGGTCCGGCGTCTTTCGGGAGAAACATTTGTCATGTGTCCAACTGGCACCTATAGTAGTGTAGTAGTGTTGTAACATGTCGAAAATAAGTGTTGCGATACCGGAGTTCGATTCCGATTTGGGTAGCTGATGAGACCTAAGTGAGGCTGAAACCGCCGTTCAGCCTGGTTGACAAGACTAAGGCCTACTTCTATCAATGCAAGGCAACTATCGGTCCTTATTAGCAAATTTATCGTAAATATATAGTGCCAAGAAGCTTCTTTTGTGTAGAATCGGCCTCACTATTTATATTCAATTAACCTTGACTCAAGTCTGCATGCTCAATCATGGCTATTTTTTATTTACTGAAAAAGACAATTCGAATAATAAATATATTTTAACGAATACTTTGATTAATCCATTATTTCTTGTTACCTTTATTTCTCTTTTGCTGTACCTTCTTCTATTCCGTCATAGTTCTGATACTATATCAACCCTATGCATGTACGCATGATAATTTGCACAAGAGGCCCGGACTTATAAAAAATTATATTTGTATACTTTAGTTAGGGTAAAGAATACAGTTAATAAGGAGTCCCCTCGATTTTTGAGCTATTCCTTAACTACGAAAATGGAATAAACCCACTCGAACCCATAACTTCAACTCTAATGGTTAATTCAAATGAGTGTATTTGTTCTGAAACCCTTGAATATTTGTTTTTTTAGATTTTCACGCCTCTCTGATAGTAAGCTTTTAATCAGGATCTACCATATCTCTTTTTTGGATATTTTCAAGAGTTCGGACGAGATCGTTCGAGTGGTCGCATTGGACAAAGAATTTCACGTCGACTGTTATCGTTGCGAGGTAAATTTTCACTTTCTAGCTATTTTTCTCTGTCTCCATGGCATCAGACACTGGTGATATTGGCAGCTTTATTAGTACTGTTTATAACATTGTTTGTGTCGAAACTATTAGATAATTTACATTTATTGTTTACTTTTGGTATTTTTTTATTAAAGGCATTGTAATCAATGGAATCTATATCTGAATTATTAGAGGGTTATTATTTATAATATTGGTTGTTTTTAAAATTTATTAATCCAATTATGTTTTTATATTTAGGATTGCCGAGTTCTTCTAGCCGACGAACCTGAGCGCCGTTGCTACCCCCTATTGGAGACCTGTTCCTCTCCGAGCCAATTAAGTCGATTGACCCCTCCGACCACAATACAGCATCTACTTTGTCTTAGCTGTCATCTCTCACGAATTGGTGCTGTACCTGCCACGCTTCCGTGCTCTGGAGACCCCACAACCACAGGACCAACCAACAGTCTTGCCGGTGGAAATGGCGCCCGCCTTGGTCGCCACTTTTCTTTTACTTCATCACCGAAACTTTCGCCTTACTCTACGCTCGGAGGGCTGGGCTGCAGTGATAGTAGCAATAGCCTTTTTTCCCATCACGTATCCACTGCTGCGGCAGTGGCGCCGGCGACTGGTCCAGGCAGTCCTGCTACGGGGACACATATGACGCCTACCGAAAGGAAAGGTGGGTCGTCAATTATTTCATTGTTAAACAACATGTTACTTTTCATTTTAGGGAGTAGCCATTTGATTTCTTGAAAGAATTACTAAGGGCTGCAATAATATATACTTTTATTATTTTTAGTCTCGATTACCTCTCTTCCATCACCCTTCGCCATCCCGACCACTGCCTCAGTCAGCGCAACCTCTTCACCATCCTCCACTTTGTCTGATCAACACCATAAGCCAATCTTGCTTTACCTCGGTCCTTACTCGCGTTACCCTTTAGGGTCCGACTCTGCTCCCAATGCCTCTATTGTCGACGGATCTAGTCAGATTGCGCCTGCACCTAGTTATTCGATATTTGGATTTCATGGAACAGGACAAGACCAGCAATATTCCTCAAAATATTCGAGTATGGACCGACGTGGAATGGGACCAAAATGTTTCGTGCCTACTCCTTGGTACAATTCGTAAACTGGCTTGGATTTTATTATTTACAGAACAGCACATTCGATAAGCGTTTAGTAATTCTATTCTTTGCAATAGTTACTCAGTTTTTTTATGAGCTCTCCAGGAAATCACTTTTATAGTGGAAAAAATGTTTTATTTGTGTTATGCGGCTTCCTTTATAGTCTGGATCCAATTTTATTTTCTCACGTCTACCTATTTCTCAGAAGCCATCTGACATTTTTCCTAAACACTGACTAAGGCGTGTGCGTAGTAAGGATGATCTATTCTTTGTAATATGTTGACCTTTAGGGGCAACCGTAGGCGCTTCATATACAATCTCTTGCCCGCAAGTTCAGATATCTTTTTACAGCTTATATACATTGCTTTCAAGGAAAGGGACGAATTTCCAGATTAACTCTCTGTCCCTATCAACCCCTATCAGTCATCTCAGGATCTGGTGTTTCACCACAGATGAGGCGCTGGAACCAAACTCCCTAGTGTTCTTCATCTGGTCGCGGCTCCTGACACTCCAATACTCAGCCTCCGATATTGTCTGTCATATGGGAAGATCTCATGGTTGCACTATCTTTTGTTGGAATTTTCCGCCCATATCATCTGAGCATCACCAATACGAGGCATAGAGCTATGAGTTTTATACAGTCTCTTATACTTTTTAAAGATCATTTACAACTGAAATGCAGTCTGTTTTCCTCACTTTACCTGTTATTTCAAGCTCATCTGCCCTAACCACTTATACCTTGCATCATACGCAATTTTTTGCCTGAAGGTGCCTATTTTTCCCCTCAAATACCACAGGAATCAGTTTAAGTCCTGTACTTTTGTATAGCTAAATCCAAAGATTATCAGACTAAGTCCATCATGACATGTACATAAGTTAAGTGAATGTTATTCCCCAGATGGCACAGTTTACTAAGGAACATGGTAAATTGCAACCGTCTTACCTGACCTCGAGTTTGATCTCTTCAGGGCATCATAAAAGTATATATAATATCCGCTCTCAAATCAACGGATCTCATCTCTCTTCTATGTTTAAGCATGCAGCATGATGGGATAGATGTATACACAACAGATGTTAACGCATTACGACTTCTTGATACCATTCACATTTTGATATTCATGCTACTCCTCCTCTTTTGCCCCGCGGCATGCTTTTTCTTTACCTTCATTGCCTATTACAGTGGCTTGCAGCTCTATACGCTATCTTGCTTATACCTGTAAGGCATTTTCAATTTTGTCTTATATGGTATACGTGCAGATTGTTTTCAACCTTTCCTTCCCTTTTTAGCCGTGCCGATTTCTGTCATACTCGTAAGCTTTGGACATTTTATTCAATTTCGACTTTTCAGTAGACTCATCATGAAATTGATTTACTGCTTTAAAGGAGAGAACTCTTATTTTTTTAATGCTTTGATCAATTCATCTTTATCTGTTGAGAGGTGCTAAGAGAGCGGATATAAAATCTATGATACTGCAGGAGCGTTTGAGTGAAAGTATTAGAATTTAATGCTCTGCATAGGTGCATGATGCTATTTGGATATAATCTATCTGGGGCGAGTATTACATAATTCAGAATAGAATTCAGCTTCAATCTCGCAGCATCATAAGTAACCTTGGCTTATTCAAACAAAGGTTGTAATTTTTTGTGGTATACGCTTCATTCAAAGAAGAAAATAGTCTGCTTTTAACCAAGGTATCCTCTCATTAAGTTCAGGAAATATTATAGATACGAAGAGAAACTTGGTTTCGATGAATCTACTGAGATAACATTGTTAGGGAGACCTTCATTTCGGATGAAAGTTCATCAAGAAGAGATTCGTTGGTCGATCTCACCAA